GTCTCCTTGAAGACCAAGCCATTCACCAGCTCGGGGGAGAAGACTGAGAGTGTGGGCAGTCTCCTGACACCGATATTTCAGCACTTTCAGATTGATGTTAGCCTTGCACCATTCGCAGTGACAGATCTGAGGATGAGCAGCATCTGCGCTATGTTACGTGGCTCAAGCCTGGAGTTGTTTGGACATTCACTACCACTGTTGGGGAGTATGTTGGCATTAAGTTGCCAAACAGAGCGCTCACGAAGATCCAGGGTGTCACACGCCAGCTGCTCTTTCTGCCAGATCCGAGTCTGCTGCGTCCTCTACCTCTCCGTCCAGCTAGAGCTGCTACTGCTGGCGCTTCCACTACTGCTGCTGTTGGACTATCCAGACGTCAGACCACTGCATCTACTGCTTTCAGGTGTCCTCCACAACCACAGACACCCATGGACATGGCTGCTTTTCAAGAGTATGTCATTGACAGCTTTGAGGGACTTTGGGATGCTGTTGCTACACTTAGCAACTGTGGTTGTGTCCGCCCACATTACACCACTGAGCCCTGCGAGGATGATGACTGAGCCTCTACTATCTGATTACTTGTTTCTGTTTCTCTTTTTTTTTTATTTCTCTTGAGTCATTTTTATGTTTTCTTTGAGTCAGTTGTCAGTAACTTTGATGATGTTTTATGAGATTGTTGAACCAGGTTTCTATTGTTATGTTTGGATGCTATTAAATGTGTGTTTGAGTACTCTAATAGTCTGACTTTAGAGTACATATGATAACATTACGTTTATAACCATCTAACTTGTCGATTTTGGAGTATCAGACGTGGTGACGCTCGTCACCCAACTGGTGACGCTTGTCACCCGTCACTTTGCAAGGTACCACTTTTTCAACTCGGTTTTACAAGTTCTCATGCTTCATTTTGACCAACTCTTTGCTTAATAACACTAGGGACAGTGTTGTTTAAGTCTGGGGGAGGTGGTTACTGACGTTGTGTGCTTTGTGTTTGATTTATAGAGTCATAAAGTTGAGTCAAAAACCTGTTTTTATAGAGTTAAAATTTTGAAATTGTCAGTTTTTCTTGGAACTAACCATATGACGTTTATGCTTATAAGAACCATTGCCACAGTAGTTGATTACAAGTCTTACTAAGTTGAAAGTCATAGGTAGATCAGTCTAGCAATGAAGGTTTAAGTTCTTATAGAATCTGGAAAATTTGATGTTAGCTCCACCTTGATCTTGATTCTCTCTTTCAGCACCGACAATAAGGTTAAGATACAGTCTCTCTTTGATCTTCCCTGATGTAGTTTTTAAGAGTTTAAGTCCAAAGAATGGTGCATTCATGACCCTGTCTCCTCACAAGGAACAACAATAATGAACACACTCAAGAACCTGTCTCCTCACAAGGAACACAAGTATTGAGTAGCACCATATCTTAGACTGTTAAAAAAATGAGAAAAGAAGTGAAAAATCGAAAAAAAAATCAGAAAGAAAAAGATCAAGGAAAGAGAAAATAGGAGAGCTGTGTTGAGGTTGCTTTGTTCAGTTGTATAGGAAGGGAAACAAATCTATAAGTGATTGAGATGATAAAACCTTGATGAGATATCACACTTAGATAAAAATAAGGAGTTAGCAGCTAAGATTTTGGTTTTCTTGAAGGGATTTGGATTGGATTTGAGAGATTTGCTAAGCTTGTGATGATTAGACTGAAATTTGATCTTGTGTTGACTCTGTGGTATGTGGATTCGAAAGTGTTTATTAATGTGGTGTTCCTGATGTTTAACTGACTTTTCTTGTTTTTAAACCTCGACCCTGTTCTCTGTCTAATGTTTGCTTGAGGGCAAGCAAAAGCTAAGTCTGAGGGATTTGATATATCATGGTTTTTAAGGTTTTTAACCATGGTATAAGTTCTTTTTATTGAGTCTTTTGGTCTTTTTAGAGTCCTAGTAGAGTCTTTGCAGGTTATAACATGTCTGGAGCATAATTAGAGATATTGAAGCTTTTTGGAGCATTGCAAGTTGAAGCCACGAAGTGTCCTGCTCGGAGAAGAAAGTATGCATTTGGGTGACGCTCGTCACCACCTATGGTGACGCTCGTCCCCCACAAAGGAAGGAGCGTGGTTGATTTGTTAAAAGTATCAAGATTATTTGCAGAATTGACCCAGAAGTTTCTGTATTTGCAAGAAGGCCCCAGATCCTGTTTTAGCTTCTATATATTAGGTTTTCAGCCATTGTTGGCTTTTATCTTAGTTTTTGAGAATTCAGAGAGCTTTAGAGAGGATTTCATTGAGAGCTTTTGGGGAGACAGATCCTGTACTCTTTTTGGAGAAGATTTCGAACCCCCTTTGTTTTTATTCTATTCTCTTAATGCAATTTTATTCAGTTATGTTTTGTGATTCTATGATCATGTCTGAGTAATTTGTTAGTTAAGTTAGGGCTTTTCAAAGGTTGATGAAGAGTTTGTAGAATTGCTACCTGTTAGGATTATCTTCTTGTTCCTCATCTCTGTTTGCTTTAAAATCAAATTTCTTAGAAACATCATCTAGAAATCCGAAAATCATAGGTTCTTAAATATATGTGAGAGCATTATTGATAACCTGAACTAGTATTAGATGAGCGAAATAACTTAGTGCAAAGAGATTTGGCTTAGGAGTTTTGTGAACAATTGAACATGATCATTACTGCATATTTAGATTGTTAGGGTTTGCAAAGAGATTTGAAACTATGTGATTTAGACATAGATAACTTCTGCAATGAGAATTGATTAGTTATATATTTGTGATTCATGTTCGAGACGGTTCTTAAGCATTCCTGATTTCATGCATTCTACATTCTCGGATTCAACATGCGAACTGTCCTGACTTAGCGTTTTTAGTCTTCTAAACTTAGATCAACAACCAAATTTCGTTTACTTACATTTAAATTTGTCATTCGCATTACATACACCATCTGCTGCTTAGCTTAATCTAAACCTATAATCGATAGTATAGTTTACATACTCCTTTGGAATTCGATACCTCTTGTACTACAACTGTTTTGATGTGCACTTGCAGTAGTTTTATTTGGGCAAAACATGAGCCATATCACCTAGTTACATTTAAACAAAAGGAGAAAATAAGCTAAATAAAATAAATGTCTTCTTGACACCAATTTTGTTTTGAAATTGAATGAAAATTCTTTGACTTTATAGAATTATGAAGATCAGATTCTAATATAATTCACATATTGAAGACCTTAGATTATCTCATATCATTCTCTCTCTCTCTCTTCAAATGGTTTTGTCCTTAAATATTACAAATATTATTTAGAAAGAAAATAAAACCTTTTTAATATATAATTTTTTAAAACAAAAAATCCAAATAAATAAGAAACATAAATAGAAGCAGAGTTTTTTTTTAAATGAAAGAAACAAACTTCAATATAAGGGAAGAAAAACAATGAATTTTTTTAAAGGTTTTTAAAAATTAATTAATAAAAAAACTATTTTATGATTTTAATTTTTTTAATAAAATCAAAGAAGAAAAACGTAAAATAATTTTTTTGTTTTTTAATAATAATATAATAAATTTCAAAAATATTAAAGAAAAGTGACAAAATTAACCTTTTTAATATATCAATGAAATCAAAACAAAAACAAAGAAAGATATGAGCTTTCAGCTCTGATACCAAATGATATAAGATTGGAATCACACTAAATCTTTTTGATCACAAGATGTCAAGAGTTGAAAAGCCTTGGCTGAATGTGGACGAAATAGAGATGGAACTTTTGATTGACTCACTCAATCAATAGGAGGGCTGACTCACTCAATCAGTGGGATGGCTGACTCACTCAGTCATTGGAATTAAACTTGTCTGAATCACACAAACAATTTTATTCTAACAATCAGTAGAACACAAATAAATCTTTCAAATAAATTTAAAGACAAAAATAAACAAAGCCTAAGCTTTTAGAGAAAATTCTCTATTGATTTCCAAAAATTTCAATATGTCTTTGCAATAAGAATATATGAGGTTTGATAGCTCTTACAAAGAATTTTTATAATAAATTACATGTAAACGAAAAGAGAAAAATAAGCTAAATCAAATAAATATCTTTGTTCCCACCAATTTTTCTTTAGATTTGAATCAGAATTCTTTGAATTTATAAAATTATGATGATCAAATTCTAATAATAATCTACATGTTGAAGACTTTGGATTATCTGATTTTTTGATATTGTATCAGCAAAACAGGTTAATGTTAAGTTAAAACTATACTACATTGTTATTTGTAGTTTATAATATTGCGTTTATGAGGGAGCATACATACATGATTTAAAATGATATATGTTTTATTTGTGAATATATATATATATATATATATATACTGTATATATATAGCTGTCAAAGAAAAAAAACATTTATGTATATATATATATATATATATATTTCATTTTGATAAGTTCTTCTTTTACTCTATTAGAATATATTTGAAAATCATTTTTAAAAGAATTGTACTATCAAAATATTAATTCTGAAATTGTGTAGTAAATCATTAATGTTCATGAATTTTGAAATCAATTAAATTTAAAATAAAAAATAGAAAATATAGTCAGCCTCAAATGTGTATTTTTAAAAAATATTAAAATTTTCTTTTCCACATTTTATACCTTCATGTGATGTGAATTGTAGTTCGGTTTTTTAAAAGATAATAATATATTTATACTAGCTTATATATCCATGACTTAAGTCACAATGAACAAAATGTCTTTTAAATTTTTTTTAAAAAAAAATAGTGGATGATCATCAGATACTGGTGAATTTATTATATATACCATAGTGATTTGGTGCCTGTAGTTTACAAAATTTTCCTTATTAGATACTACAGTTTATGAAGGCGTGGTAGAGAAAAATAAACGTATGTAGGTAGATTTTTCTCTTTTCTGTAACTCGTAATTTGTGTGTCGCTGCAAATGGATCGTGCTCACCAAGTGTTTGACAAAAGGTCACACTGTCATAGCTTTGTTAATCCACAATATCTATGGTTTCTTGTGGCAGAAGACCACAGTTCCAATTTTCGCGCTCTTTATTTACAAATCACGTGCCACTCACGTGGACAAACCAACCGACTCCGGCCCTTTAAATCCTTGCCTTCCGTCTTCTTCTCTTCAACGCTTCCCCATTTTCTCTGAATCTCTGTTTTTCCCTTTTCTCGAGAAAATCCATAGAAAGTCTCGTAATTAGAAAGAAAAAAACGCCATTTTTGTTTTCCTCCGAGAATTCAGGAGTACACATCGCCAATTGGAGTCATCAAAGATTCAAGAAGCAGAGCAAGTCGAAGAAATTGAGCAGAGAATCGATCCGTGAGTTGTTGAATAAACCTCCTCCAATCGCATTTACGGTAATTCCATATAATTCTCTCTGCAAATCGCCTTACCTTTTTGTTCAGAGAGGCGATGAAATCAGAGGAACCTGAAGAGAAACCAAACGCTACTCGTGTTCTAGCTCTTGATATGATACTCAAGGTTGTTTTTCAAACTTTAACAAAGCCAATGTTAGTCTGAATCTTTTTCCGTCGATCTTGTTTATCTGATCAAAGTTCTCAAGAAAGTGATTATTGCAGTCTCTGTGGAAAATTAGCGTTTTCTTAAGCGATTTTCTGCTGGAGTTTTGTCAAGCAACACATCACAGCTTCACAGAGGATGGTGAATATGTTGTTACGCCTTCACAACAACTTCGTGATTTCCTTCTCAGCAATCTAAGTGTTACTCATTCTCTGGTCTCTTCTCTGACCTTTAAACACTTTTTCGATGGTTAATTACTCGTTCTCCAAGCTTCATACTTTCTTGTTATTTACTCTGCAGGAAGCAAACGGTGTTTTCGATTTCTTGGTAACAATCTTGGAGCTTCTACCTCTCTGGAGAAGTGAAAATGGCGAAGAAAAATCTCTGAATTCCAAGTTTGAAGTATACGAAGTTGCGAAAAAGATTTGCAACAGGTGCAAAATGTTAACGGAAATCCCGGTTGGACGTTCTTACGGTATAATCGTGGTTGCTAATTCCCTCAGAGAAATCAAGGCAAGTCATTTTTCATTAGATAATGATAATTTTAGTCGTTTCATGAAATTGATGCTAGAAACTTTTTTTGGTTATCACAGTCTGCATTTGAGGATCTCACATTTGAGAAAATCCTTAAGTTTATCAGAATCACCTTGATGATGCCTTGTGACAAGGAAATGTGTGGGAAACGAAACTATGTTGAGCGTATGATCAATGAACTTCCATCTGTTTTCACACTTGGTAAGAGCTATGAAGTTTATTTGTTTATAAGACATCAGCAACATAATGTAGTAGTTTTGAGGAATTTTTGCCTTATGTATTGTTTAGCACTTGAGTGGGAGAACGATGAGAGTGGAGAAGAGATCTTTGCTACAATTTCTGCTCTGGCCACTGAGATAGATGTTAGTGCGATATACAAATACAATGGTGTCAGTAAATTCACTAAATACCATCTTGTGTCAATGGTAAGGGCAAGTTACTAATTCCTTAAGTTCCGTTTAGGTTTCCTATTGAAGATTACGTTACAAGAAACAACACCAATGTTATAATATTCAGGTTTGCTTGCATGGAGGTCAATACAGTTGCGTAGCTTTTGAAAACAGAAACTGGGTCATATATTTTGGTACTGAGAATGAGGTAAAGCTTGGACATCTTTGTAATACAAGCTAGTTACTCGATCTGTTGTTTCGTATGTTAACCTGTGTGAGGGTGTGTTGCTTATGCAGGTTATTGGAGACTGGGATAATGTTCTTACCAGTTTCGCCAAACTGAATATTCGACCTACGCTTCTATTTTTTGAAAACGTAAGGTCCTACGACTGCATACAGTCTTATGTTATTTGTGTTTCGTATTTGTTGTGTGTGTTCTCAATTCCACCAACTTGAATTTCAGGTTATGGGGAGGGGCCAGATTATAGAGAGAGACTAGATTTTGTTCAGGAGCTTGGGGGAGATATCTAAAGACCAATAGAATCTTTTTGAATGGTGTAGTAGGGAAGGGATTGATGTATATGCAATACTTTAGAATTGATTCTTGGGTTTTAAGTCAAAACTTCACAAAGAGTCAGTAGAAAAATGCTTTGGAAGTTAAAACATTGTGAACAAATTTGTCCATTTTCTTCAGATCAAATTCAGCATCTTGATTAATATGATCATTGAATAAAGTATCATTCTCCAAAACACAGGTCGGTTTGCTTCGTTATATGCATTTTGGTTGGCTGTGTTGATCGGTAATACTTGGGAAGATGATCATAGAGAGATACAGCTCGCAGATTTAGTTAATTAGACTTTTGTGAGATATCTATATACAACTTACAAGTGTTGTTCAGTTCCTTTAATGAAAGCTTCTTTTATCATTTGTTGGGTTTAGTCACATATACAAGTTGATATGGTGGCTTTCTGATACTGTAAAGCTTCTCAAGTTCATATGTCAATGTTTATACATTAATGGGTTAGAGATATAACTTTGTCACTTGTTAGGCCATTGAACAGCTTCATAACTTTATTTCATACGCTTTTGGATATGGTATTAAGGTCCTAAATATAACTAGTGACACTGTAATCAATATGTTATTTAAGGTCCTCTTATATAATCTCTCAAAGCTATATTAATATGTTTTTTACGGAAACCAAAGGATCATGCTGTTTTCTGGATTAGCATAGTTCCAACGTTGATACCATCCTCGTTTGCATTTACGTACTCGTTGCAGTTATTTTTACAAGTTACAAGCCAAACAATAAGTGACAATCATGTTTGCTTCAGTCCAATCCATGATAAATTGTTAGCTGGTTAAACAATAATCATGTTTAAACTATATGGGCCCAAATTCCTTAAACTAAGGAAGCCAAAAATATTGGGGTCTATTAAGATGAAACAGAGGATCACGCCTCCTTTCGGATCCACAGATTTTTTTTGTTCACAAAAAAAAGAAAAGAGAAAAAATCAATAAACAATTCAGATTAGCCTCATTTTTCATCATCATCTTTCCGCAATCAGACGAGAAGAACTTCATCGCCATGGGACAAGTCTTTGACAAGCTCCGAGGTTAATTATCTAATCTTCTGTTTAAAAATGCTTCAGTTTGTAATATGTCATGAAATTGCTTGTTATGATATGTATGGTATCGAATCGCTATTGGTAATTATAGGTAAACAATGGAGGCAGAAGCAGGTACAGGCGATATGTGATCGAGTTTTCGATCGGTTCAAGCTTCAGACCGGAAGAGCTAATCTTACGTTTGAAGATCTATACATCGCCGTGCTTCTCGTCTACAAGTAAGAACAATGGTTGTTTTAGGTTTTACAGATTTAGAAATTTAATGTATACTTGGAGGATTCGTGCTAATCTCTGCAGTTATTTTATATTTTTCCTCTTGTTGGGATGTTTTCTCAGTGACATAAACAAGCGATTGCCTGGTCCTCATTTCGATCCGCCTTCTAAGGATCTAGTCAAAAGCATGATGACGGTAATTTCTAGAGACTCACTCAAAACCCAAACGCCCAACTTATGAATTCTTGCGTTTGTTTTTAAATGTGAAGAGAAAAATCAAAACAAACTCACATTTTTAATTTGTCATTGTAAAGGCAAAAACCCATACAACTGTATTCCCTATGTTTCAAAATATTATATTTTCATAAAGTTTTATAGTAGTATATGTTAAGAAAACATGTAAATTTATATATTTAAAATTTCAATTTTAACTAATATTTATTAAAATTTATCATCATCAAAAGGAACTATTTAAAGAACTATAAAACTATCCTTAGGAAAAAAAAAACTAAAAAACAGATGGAGTAATATTTTAAGTTCATTTGGTAAAAAAATAATGGACACTAAAAGCATTTTGGATAAACGATAATTGATAATAATAAAAAAAACAATCTACCTCGGGCAATTAGCTGGCAATACCCGTCCAATAAGTAAATTACTAAATTCTATTACATTATCCGAAAAGTTTGAAAAATTCGGGTAGGCCAACCCGAAATGCAGAGGCCAACTAAAAAGCAAAGACAAACAAAACATGGTATTGGGAAAATATGGTAAGTTTATGTGCTCTTTTCGTTTCTGTGATGTTCTTGTGATAGGACTGCGATATCAACTTGGATGGAGAAATCGATCGGGAGGAGTTTGTAAAGTTTATTGAGTTGCTTTCGGCTGACACATTTGCAGTGGTGAGTCAGGGTTTGATCATATCGTTGATTGTGGCTCCGACTGTGGCTATTGCCACAAAGAAGGCTACAGAGGGTGTCCCAGGAGTTGGAAAAGTGGTGCATAAGCTGCCAACTTCAGTGTATGCTTCGCTTGTGACTCTTGCAGTAGTGTGGGCGAATTCTGATTCAAGTTAAGCATCTCAGACCAAAATAAATGTGTTTATTGTCAACTGCAAGAACAAGTTCTTTTAGCACGAAAATATAGAAACAACACAAGGTTTGAAATAGTAGTTTCCTTTATGATTTTACTCTTGCTCGACAGCTAGAACCATTTTCCTATTTCAAACTTCGATTAATTATTGACCACACAAGCCAACAGTTTTCGTGGAAATAAAAAGTTTTTTTTTTTTTTTTTTGAAATAAAAAGTTGAAAGTATATTATACGTCATTTTACTAATCTGTTCGGATATTTTGAAGTTTTCTTAAACTCTAAGACATATATGTTCCTCCCTAATTTTAAGTCTAGTTCTAATATTTTAAGGTTTTTTATAAACTTGAGAAAATTTTATTTGTCACCTAAAATTTTGACATCAGTCATTTTCTAATTCTTAATCATTAGTAATTCCGTATTTGTAGTTTGAAAGATTAATTAAACTTCTCATTGTTCAATTTCCAAAACATCTTACCTATTTGGAAACAAAATAATAGATAAAAAACAAAGAAAATCAAAATATTAGATAATTGTTATATTTATCTATTTTCTACCTATTAATTGAGAATGTAGTTTAATGAAAAATGATGATTTGTTTTAATCTGATTGGTTAAAATTATTTGTCTACCTTAATTAAATGTGACATGAAAATGATGATGTGTAATGATGATGTAATTGTGACATGGCATTTACTAACACATGTGGTTGATGACATGGCAAAAACAATTTTTGTGATATTTTCATAAATAAATAATAATAATTAGATGATAATATTTAATGTACTAATAACTAAATCTGGAATGATTCGTCGGATGCACTACGAATGGCCTGATATTATTATTTATCTATATGAGTAATAGTAGATAAATTTTGGGCTGAACGTGATGATTTTAATACATATATATATATTATAATACTATAGATAATACTATATTATATACCTATAAAATTTACTATAGCTCTATCGTGGACCACTGTGACTTTCCATATGTACACATATCTACATATATATTATAATACTATATTCATATGGAATACATACACATATGTTTTCATATACTTCACAGTAGGCAAAATTATAATAGCAAAATCACATTGATCAAATCGTTTACCTAATATTTCATATTTTTTGTAAAGGCGGTGCTCCATTTATGTGCACATATGTTTTCACATAGTTCAGTTGATAAAATTATAATAACAAAATAAGATATTATTGTGATCTTCTGTAGAACATTCAAAATTGAAAATTAGTTTAGTTTAAAAATAATAACAAATATAATATAAGATTTCGATTTAATAATCCTCTACGTTATTTTTATTAACAAACGTAAGATATCCTAAAAAATCAACGTGCATCTAATGAAAAACTAAAATTATAATCCTCTACATTATTTAAAAAGTTTAATGTCTATTTAATAATAACCAAAAAGATCCATATAAAATCACGTTCATGCCAAATAACTACGTAATAAAAAAATTTAAATACTCGGGTCTTTATATAAGAAAACATCACAATATACATGAGTATCAAACAAATCAAACCCTAACTCAAAGTGCGGGCATGGCAATTCTACCAATCTATTTACCTAAATGGAATATGGCTAAAATGAAACTTGAAGGTTGGATAGACTCCAATCATGAGTGTAATGAAATAAGGTTTTATCGCTACACTAAATTTCCAAACAAATGGATTTGACATAAAAAAATTAAGAAGTGGCTCCCTCGTCTGCGCAATAGAAAAAATAATGTTTCCTACGATATCAGCCTTCTAGAAGTTTTAGAAGAATATGGTGAGCTTTTCTACCTTAGAATGTTACTAAATGTTCAGAGAGGACCAGTATGCTTCAAAGATATCAGGACAGTAAACAGAGTTTTATATCTAACCTTCGCTGAAACATGTCTTGCAATATGGTTAGTTGAAGCACTTGATGCTTAAGTAGAGATGGTCTTCCAATTATTTGTAGAGTTTACTTAATAAAATTATAATTAGAAAAATTGCACATATGAGTAGATCGAGATCAACAATGACAGAATCCTTGAAGAAATAATGCTTTAAATTGAAGAAGATTATAGGAAGATAAAGAAAATGAAAAATGTTTGTTCCAAGAAAAAAGACAAAGAAGATAAAATTTGCAGCCTAATCAGCAAATCCGAAGAAGGTAACCAACTATCCATGGGTCTGACTCATTTGACCCTCTAACATAGTGGGTCAAGTTTTACAAAACATGTTCATGGAAAAATAATTTTTGTGTTTTCCAAATTTAATTATTATTTTTCAAGTCTGTCTGAAAATATAAATGAACTTTTTATTATAACAAAATGTTTACATAAAATTAGATAATATTTTATTATTTAATTTAAAGTCTTATAATTCAAAACACTAACCTTGAGTTTTATAAACTACAAAAAATTAAAATCTTTAAGACAGATTTAAGTATTGTATATAAATAATTACATTTTTAAAATTGTTCATGCCCTCACATGCGTGCGGGCCAATATCCTAGTTGGTATAATAAATCCCGATCCAGCAAAATAGATTCACTAAAGAAAGATATGAAAGGAAAAAAAGAAGTCGTGAAGCAGCGAGTTCAACACAGTGATTGAAGCATCAGTGTTTTTAATTATTTTTTTTACCGGTGTTTTTATTTTAATTTTCAGTTTTTCATTTTTGATATATATATTTATGGATTATTAAATATTATATCATAAATCCATGTATATGAAAGTGTTAAAAGAAAAGTCAATGAGATTAGATTTGTATTTACAAATTTTGTGTTTGTTGTTGTTTTGATTGTTGAAATTCTGTTCTGTTAATTTACATTTTAAACAAGGACATGGTACTGTAAATGAGTCAACTAGGAAACTCATGATTACCTGAATATTCTGTTTCCTTTCACATTCTCTTATAGTAAATGTCTTAACTTAGGAGCTCCGAATGTACTCATGTATATACGTTTGTAATGTCATTTTAATAATCACGATTCACATCTTACATGGTATTAAAGCAGGTCTCTCTAACCTAAATTATTTTCCCCATCCCAACCCCCTTTTTTCCTTCTCTTTCCCTCGCCTCTCTTTCACATCGTTCTTTTCTCACCATGGCCGCCAATGATGTTGTTGATCTAGCTCCCCAGATAGTTCTCAACGTGAACATGTCAAACGTTACTAAGCTTAGCTCTTCCAACTATTTGATGTGGAATCTTCAAATCCACGCCCTCCTCAACGGATATGACTTAGCGGGTCATCTCGATGGCACACTCCCTGCACCAGCTCCTGTTATCACCATCAACAACATCCCTAGCGCTAATCCAGCTTACATGGTTTGGAAGCATCAAGACCGCCTCATATACAGTGGACTTCTCGGTGCAATCTCGCTAACCATACAACCAATCCTTTCCACCTGTTGCACATCAGCCGAGATCTCGAACAAACTCTCTGCAACATATGCAAAACCAAGCCGCAGTCATATTCAACAACTCAAACAACAGCTGAAACAATGGTCGAAAGGTACCAAAACCATTGACGAATATATCCAAGGTCTTAATACTCGATTTGATCAACTAGCGTTATTGGGAAAACCTAGATCATGAAGATCAGATTGAGTTCGTGTTAGAGGGATTACCTGAAGAAAACAAGAACATGGTGGATCAAATTGAGGGCCGAGACACATCCCCATCTCTCACTGAAGTCCATGAGAAATTACTAAGCAAGGAGGCTAAGCTACTCTCTACGTCCACCTTGATCGTCGAGACCCCAGTCACAGCTAACCTAGTCAACACTCGTGCTCCACGGTTTCAACAAAACCAACCGTAATGTTACACCCAATCTTGGAGTTCATCTCGACAACAACATCAACCATACAACAATCAAAAACAAGGCAACACTAAAGGTTACTAGGGCAAGTGTCAACTCTGTGGTGTCTTTGGACAAAGTGCTATGCGTTGTTCACAATTTCAGCAACACATCCCTCGCAGCACCCAGATGCAACAACAATCACGCCCATGGCAACCAACAGCTAATCTAGCTCTCGGTTCCTCTGATTCTGCTTCATCTTGAATCATGGATAGCGGAGCCACACATCATATCACCAGTGATCTCCACAACATGACACATCATCAACCCTACACAAGAGATGACACTATCCTCATCAGTGACGGTTCAGGTCTTTCAATTACACACATCGGTTCTTATTCATTACCTTCCTCCACTAGAAACCTGAAACTGCATATTGTGCTGTGTGTTCCCCATATACACAAGAACCTTATCTCTGTCTTTAGACTTTGCAGCACTAATAACGTCTATGTGGAATTTTTCCCTACTCATTTTCTGGTGAAAAATCTGACCTCGGGGGTCCCATTGCTCCATGGCAAGACCATTGTGATCTGTACGAATGGCCCATCTCATCGGCTCCAGCAATGTTGTTCTTCGCAGCAACCGACACAAAGCCCATCATAACCGAATGGCACTGTCGTCTAGGCCATCCCTCTCCTGCAATTCTCAATAACATCATTTCCCATTTTCCCTCTCTTGCTCACAATCTCATACATCGACATCCTCATGTATTGATTGTTCTATTAATAAAAATCACAAGTTACCTTTTCACCAAAACACTATCCACTCCACCTGACCCCTCAAAAACATATACACAGATGTGTTGTCCTCTCCAGTCATATCTTGTGACAATTACAAATATTACCTCATACTCGTTGACCATTTCACCTGATATACCTGGCTATACCCCTTGAAAACAAAGTCTCAAGTCATAGACATGTTCAAATCCTTCAAGGCCCTTGTCGAGAACCGGTTCAACACCAGGATCGGGATGCTGTACTCAGATAACGGCGGTGATTTCATTGCTCTCCGACAATTTCTCGCCACATCTGTAATTGCTCACTACACTTCGCCTCCTCATACACCAGAACACAACGGCATCTCTGAGAGAAAACACCGTCATATAGTGGAAACCGGTCTCTCTTCTCACCCACGCAGGAATGCCCAAATCATACTGGACATACGCCTTTGCCGCAGCCACATATTTGATCAACCGACTTTCAATACCAGTCTTGGAAATGGAATCGCCATATCGGAAATTAATGGGAGAATCGCCGAACTACTCGAAGCTACGAATCTTCAGATGCCTCTGTTTCCCGTGGCTTTATCCATATACAAACAACAAGCTCGACAATCGCTCCACACCGT